TTTTTTTTGTTTCAATATTCAACATTAGATTTATCTTGTGAAAGATAAAATAAGGTGCAAGGGCGCATCTTTTTTTCGTACTTTTTGCTATTCAGATGCTATTGCATTGCTGAGCAAATATAAAGAAACTACTGTTATATTACTATCAAACAATTTTTTCTTTTGCACTGATGGTATCGAATCAAAAATCAACATAGTGAGGATGACGAATTGAAATTGCAGCGTAATACTGATTGTATTAATGTTAATCATAAATTAATAGTGATGACAACAACAAAACAAATAATTCAGGATATCCACCCTGCCTCAGCCCGGAATGGAACCTAGTTTGCATGATCTTCAGTCGTGTGTCATCTCATTAGACTACTGAGACTTATGTATGATAGATGATCATAATTTCTGGTAATTAGAAAAAAAAACAATAGACTCTTAAATAGAGTTCGCTGTCCGGAAAAACGCAAAAAAAGCGATAGTATATTCAACAGACCGGACTCTTGTAATACTGTTTTTTGTGGAATTGATACCTGCTTTCAAAGAGAACAGTAAGTGTAGGTGGAAATCAAGATTTTTGTGGCACTTCCTCTCTAAGTCCTGGAATGGATGCGAGGGTAATTGCAAATGTGAGGAACGTATCGTAACTCGCACCGGACACACACAAATACCAACTCACATTTTCACTCACACTCAATAATGAAGACATCAATGTCTTCGTTTCTCTCATATTTACATAACGACAACCAAACCCGTCCTCCAACAGTATATAGTGTGAGTGGAATGTCGATGTTGTGAGTGTGTGACTGTGGCTGTGGGATCTTCTCTTCAACTACACTAGTGAACCCAGAGTCATATCCCAATCACATTATACACCTTACTATAAGTGAGGTTTTCTTTAGGGTGATAAACACAAATGTAGATCTAAAGCCATAAAGGTTGCCCTTCGAAATCACAGATGGCGTTTTTTCTCAGATAAAAATATGCAGAGAAGAAGCATAAATATAGGAAATTTTAGAAAGTGTCTATATGCACTATATAGCTTCTTAGCATATGTTTTATAGCTGAAAATTGTTATTTCCTCTGTATTTTATTTTTTGTAATCATTCTCTCTACGTTTATGACACAAGAGACATCGTTTAGTACTACCTTACTCTACATTTATAGTCTTTTGCACGATGTATAGTTTTATGACAATTTGTTGCCTACAATACCATGTTCTTAATAGTAGAACCATAAAAGTAGAGTTTTGAAATCATACATGCAGAGAAGATATAAAAAATGGTAAAGTTTTTCTACAGTAGTTGGATATTGCCACCATGTTCGCTGGAAATATTGTAAAATACAAAAAAAAAACAGAATCATAATACAACTTTCTATTATATTGATTGACAACATAAACTTTTAAATCAATGCTTAAGTTAAGAAAAGACTTCTTCAAATCAAAAATTTGATTGGCATTCAATTCATTTTCTATTTGTGTCACCGTAGCTCAAAAAATAGAGCAATATAATTTACTGTGAGTTGATCAATTCTCTTTTGACAATAGATATGCCAATGTAACGAACATTTTATTATTAAATAAGTAAAATCCTTAAATGTCTCTTTCAATATTCATACGAGAACAAAAAAAAACTAGTAATGCATATAACTACTGCTGTACTTCTTTCATCTTTTACTTTCTATGCTTACTTCTCGCTTTTATATCCGAAACCTATGTATTCATTTTTATTTTGAGAAAAACTCTTGGACTTATTTCTGAATCATGTGTAAGTCTATATCTTATATTGTTCTATATTGAAATATTTGCAAAACCAATTGTGTACATACATCAAATTAAACATTTATTTCAAAGAACATTTCAATGATGTTTATAAATTAAACATTTGAATAATCTACATGCTGTGAGTTTTTATAAATATATGTTTTTGAATTTTAATTATTTTATAATGAATCAAATTCGTATGTAAATTATTTGATAATTTTACAATAAATAAATTTTATTACATTAGTAGCAAGTTCAGTAACAAAATTCTATTTTATTATTCAATCACCAGGACAAATGTTGATGATAACACTCATTCAATAACTTATTCATATGGAAAGCTTAATATTAGCTATGTTCTTACCTTGATTGTTGTGAATCATGTCTGACATATGCTGAGCTGTAGAATACACTTGGTACGATCAAATTATTCGAACACGAGTTCAATAATGTCTCGATAGTTCGATTAAATACTCGAAAATCAGTTATGACACTTGTTTTTAACGTTCTCTAACACTTTATGCAAGAGTCACATGTTCGAACGTTGATATCACGGCAAATGAAATGATATTCTCTGACAAATGGTCTTGTCGTTCAGTGTTTCGAGTCAGCACAGTCTCAATGGAGGTATATTATCTATAACTTAATGCGAGTCACATATTATCTATGAATATAATTATTGACAAATGTTTCATTTGTATTAAATCTACTTCGTTTTTTTCTTCGAAAGTCAAGACATTATATTAATTTGAGTTCGTTGCGATCATGTTCATCGAATGGCATTGATGAGAAAATCAATTGCTTTGCATTATGTGGTGAGATGTAAAATAGTACAAGGATTCATTTTTGAAAAAAAACTCAATTGAAGTATTTGTTTCATTAGCAGATGTTTTATTTTTTTTACCAACAAAGAAACATATTCTCTGTTGTAATTACTTGATTTTCAATGATGGTTCTCGTAAAACCAATGTTAGTTCGAGGATAAACAACAGGTTTCTGTTTTTTAAGTAAATGTTGTTGGATACAAGATGTAGATCGAAGTTTTCGATTATTCAAAAGAGTCTCGTCGGGGAGATCTATCTATATCAAAATCGTTTGGTTCAAAGAGGTTTTCTCGTGATCATTTATTCTCTGATATATTTCCCTTTAACTAATCTTTGTACTTTTTCACACAAATCTCCACTCAAAGTATATGAATATTTAGCTAAAATCATTACATAAGAAATATCTGGTTAAAAGAGAAATGGAAGAAATTACGAAAAAACTATTAATTTCATGACGAATTCACGTTGATATCAGTTACATATTGATATACTACGATTGTGATTAATGTGAAAATTTCTGAAAAATAGATCAAGAAAAATATATCAGCCCAAAAATTTTCACTGGTAAATCCCTTTGGATCTGATGGTTTATGTATATATGCTCTAGATGACACTTCGAATAATCAAAACTGCAGGTTTATATCTTGTAACTTATGAAAATTACTCTAAAACTACCTAACAATACAACGTTTATGTTTAAGTGAAAATAAGTTTTTATTTAAAGCTAACGAGAGATAAAATACGTATGAAACAAATCGAATACGACTAGAAAAATATATTTGACATGAAAAAAAAAGGAGAAGACAAATGTTGCTAGTAATAAAAGATCTTTGTATATAATACTAAGTGTCCATCTATTCATCGATTTATTTTGTTTTCTTCATACGACGTAATTGAATGTAGGTTAAAATCAGAAAACCCAACATAATACCACCTAATGCTACAAAATTTTTCCATAAATCCCACTCGGATGAATAATCAATTTTTTGATCTTTCAAAATTTTTGTACCATCAATCGGACAAATATCTGTCCTATTGGGCAAACAAAGTTGTAAACCACTAAATTCATTAATACTAAATATATTTGTTGAATATCGAAATATGCTAATCCATTTGATCCATGAAAGGAATATTACAACAGATTCAATTTCGACTAGATATCCACTAAATACTAATGTTAATACGCAAAACATGGCTGCAACCACATTCGCAACACCTAAATAAATGATCGATAAATACAATACCGTTTTTGGACAACAAAAGAATTCCTACCGAATACTTGAACACTGGCAGAGATGACAAAACATAATGATGATGAACAGAATGTGGTTGTCAAGATTCCAAAAAAGAAGATAAAATATTTTGTAACTGTTTGTTGAAAACCTATCATAAAATAGGCAATCACCGAGAAAAGAACTGATGGAATGGTTCGCAATGGAATAATATCACAAATCAATTTCGATATGAAATAAGTGGATACATGATAATAACCACTGGCATTTTCATGTTGAAATAAGCTGCGTTCTTTGATAAAGACATCGAGTGCCGATAAACTGCCGAATACTTGATTAGTGACAATAAAAAAGATAGCACCAATACGATTTTTTAATCCACTATCCAATGAACGATCCGTATTCATGTAGATCAAACCGATAAGTACACCTAGAAAAATTGACATAGCTGTTTGCATGCCAACAAGTGCCGGATTTCTAAATGCATTCCGAAATGTTCGTTGTGATACATAGAAAATTTCGTGTTGACGTGATTTTTTCGGCAATCGAAGTGTGTCAATCGTAACTATTGGTGAACTATTGGATAATATATTCATATCATCAATTTGTTTTTTAATTGCAATATAGATCGATGATTGAATATAGAATTTATGTAAATCATGAGCAAATTGACGTTTTTGTTTTTCTGGCTCGATTTCATTGGAGTATTCGACTGATGGCAATGTTGATCGATAATCACCTTGACATATATCGAGAATGAAATCAGCCGGATTGTCATGTTCTTCACAAGTGAAACCAACAGATGTGAAAAATGGTAGAACATCACTGGTTGGACCATGATAAATACAATGACCGGTGGCAATCACGAAAAGAGTATCAAACAATTTAAATATCGAATAACGAGGCTGATGAATCGAGAAAATGAGTGTACCTTTTCGAGAGATAACAGAAAGAAGCATGAGGTTACAAAAAAAACAAAAAACGTACGACCAGATCTTGATAATTGATAAAGATGCTCCATGACATTGCGAGCTGTCGATGAATCCAAGCCTGAAATTATTCATTACATGAAATCCAATTGAATTATATCGGTATATAAGTGAATGAAATGTAGTAGAAAAAAAACAGCCATCAAGTCTTCATTCGCACTGCAAGCATCTCGCATTAACCTAACATTATTTTATCGTTGAAATTAGTGAATTTTCGAGAAAAAGTTTATCCAACGAGCTAATTTGTTTCTGTTTTCCAAAATTTTCTGTCAGCTTATTCGGAAATAGTTTGCTTGTAGCTTATCATTCAATAGAATCTTCAATCAATCATTTCATATTGAAAATGTACTAATTACAAGCTTAGGTGGCATTCCATCGAAAGTAGAGCCCGTCGGGTCCAACCCGCATCCGGACTCGAACTCGTACCCGGCCGGGATCGGGTAGGATCCGGGTTCAAAAATTTAATTTTTATCGGGTCCGGGTCTAAAGCAATTTTTGATACATAGGAGAATATTTTTTGAAGTTTTACTGATCTTCAGTTTTCACTGAAGAGTTAGTTGCTTTTGGTTGTTAGTGTTGAAAATAAATTGTTTGTGTTCAATAGAACACGTTACTTTGGTCTCAGACACAGACGAGATCTGGTCCGGGTCCGGTTCTGAAATTTTTTTTAAAGACCGATTATGGGTCCAAGAAAAGTTTAACAAAGCAGACCCGGGTACGGGTCCGAGTCCAAAAATGTTGTACCCGACGGACTCTAATCGAAAAACAATCTTGTTTCAACATTCGACCTAATGAATTTATCATTCTGCATTGTGTACCTGTTGTTGGTTCATCTAAGAAGAGAACATTGGGCGAGAGAACTAGTTCCATGCCGATATTTGTTCGTTTGCGTTCACCACCCGAAACACCACGCTGAAATTCATTTCCTACATTTGAATCAGCACATTTTTCCAAATTCAATTGTCTTATTACTTCATCAACGATCGAACTCTTGGTTTTGAGCGAGACATTAGCAGACAATCGAACATTGGCCGAAAATGCCAAGTTTTCTCGCACCGTCAATGTGCCACTAAGAATATCGTCTTGAACAACATAGCCGACTCGATATTTGAAATCAGATCCTTGTGGTTGTCCATTCATGAGAACTTGTCCTTTGAGACCTCGTCGATCTTTTCGATCAGCCAAAATATCCAAAAGAGATGATTTACCACTGCCCGTCTGACCGAGGATAGCATTCATACCAGGTTTAAAAATTCCATTGAGATCGTAAAGAATTTGCTGTTGTTTCTTCTTCAAACATGGCATTGGCAGGATGTTGCAGCATTGTTGTGATTTTAACGTATAGTTAATCGAATGGAAACTTATGATTGAACCATTATTATGTCCACCATTGTCGGTAGTTAATGTCGTCAGCATTAGACCGTTTTCCATGTCCATGACTAATGGCTAACTGTTCGAAACTCTAAAGAAAGAAATTAAATTAAAAAAATTGATATTTGAAATTGTTGATAAGAAACAAGAGATGAACATCATGTATCGTTAATCGGTTTTTTAATTATGCTCCTTCAGGGGTGCAAGCAAATATGAATTTTAGTCGTCATAATCGTTGAGACCGAGTTTCGTACATTCTATTGTTCGTTTATTCTGACAAGAAAATAGATGATCTGAACTTTACTACTTTTTCAGTAGCCATCTTTGAAAGAAACTCGGTTTATCATGTTTTTATTTATTAGTCGCAGTAGTTAATAATACGCAGGGCAAGCAGTCATCACTTTGCTATGTTATACAAATTCAATTGAATCATTCGATAACTTCGATTAGTTCTTTTTTTCTTCAAAAAAAACTCGTGTGCTATTGACGATGGGATTTTTATATTGTGACAACTTGATCAATTCTCATTTATTGTCAATATATGAAATGTTTATTTAACATGCAACGAATATGCTATATGCTTTGTTCAGATAACTAAGATTGAAATCCCTATGGAAGGCATGGTAATCATTCGCACCGATAAGAACCATATGTTTCTCTCGTTGAAAATACAGGTTTAACGACTTATAGCTGAGATCGAGTAGGAAATGTATATTATTCTATCATATAATCAGAAAGACTATATTCTAGACAGAAAATGCACAGCAAAACTTCTCTAGAAAGTAGTACAACTGAAAAGAAATTTTTAATCAATTTTATTTTTGTCTTTCTCACACTATTAAGTATGGAAGGGAAATAATTATCAATTAAAATAAAAATAGTTCCATCGTTCAATGCGTTATCTAATCAACAATGCAAAGAATGCCATTCATGTGGTAAATTATGGAAGAAAAGAACGGAAAAAAATAAGGAATGACATGGGATTCTAAATTGGAAACCAACAGATGTCATTGTATGCAAAAGAAAACATTCCTGAAGAAGAAGCTCGATACAAACTAGTTAGATATCAAAATTTCTATTTCAACCTTTCCAATACAAAGCTTACATTACGATTAAAAATAAAATTTCAATGTAAATCACTTTTTTCTCTGTTAATTTGATAAGTAAATAGAGTGACAGCTTGTTAAATCGGTTTTATAATTTTTCTTCAATTGAAACAATGTTTGTTGAGGAAAACACTCTTAATTCGTGTTTGTAACATTGTAAGAGTAATAGACCAGATTTTTATTAAGTTTAATCCTAAAAATGAAAATTATTATCATTCATGTCTTCTGAACTTCTTTGCTACTATCGAGATCATTATTAAAACAGTTTTTTTTAGCACTGAAAAGTAGAACCGATAGTATATATCATGCGGAATGCTCAAAAGACGAGTTCAAGATCCGTTGCTTTCGTTTTCATTAAGTCAAAAACTCTGAAAGCAAAACAGATCCAAATATCTTGTCCATGGTTACACCACAAATATTGTGTAAAAATTTGAACATTATTGAGGATATAATTATAAAGATCTGTAGGGCGACAATCAAAGAAAAGATTAAATAGCTCTTTCAGATAACTGCTTCGCTGATGTAGCCGATTGTTAAATCAGGCAAAAAAGAAAACATAAATATTCTTTTTATGTTAAGACATATCTTCATAAGATTCTAAATGATCAAAAACTTATGTGATTGCATGACTTCCTACACCATACAAGTTTTCAAAAATACCAGTGTAATCATAGAAAAATCAACGTTTTCTATGCTGCACAATCGCTTCACCTAGCTTGAGTCTAAAGCATTTAGGACAATTTAGTTTTCTCCTACTTTCTATTCTCTCGCTAGCGTTTTTGACAGATGCATCTAGTTGTTGATACTTCAGACTTCAATCTGAGATTTGTTGTTTTCTAAGTGAATTTGTATTTTTTTTTTATTGACATGCTACAACAATCATGATATTAGACAAAGCAAAATATAAGTGTATTGGAGCTGAACAGCATACAAAATTCAACAAGGTTACTGCCGGTTCTGCATAAAAACAGATATAAAAATTTGTTCAAATTTTCCAGAAAGCAAATTGCTTCTTTGAGATCATATAAAAGCAGAACTAATAGCAGTTGATACCCATTTCAAAGAAAAAAATTCGAATTTATTAAAACGAAGTAAACGAGGGATGCATATCAGGTTGAACTTTGAGTTATCACACCTTCAGTGATTCAAAATCATTTATGATCGAAATAATGTGGTTAAGTTACAAGATGCCCTAGAAGAACGATATGAGATATATCTATACATTTTAAAAGTATTATTCGGATAGAAATCTATCATAGCATACTGAATATCGTTTTCAGGAAAGAGCCCGCAATTGTCCTTAATGACTGGTTATATCCTGTTACATGTCCAATTTTCATTACAAAAGTAAATGTTTTTATTTTTGCCAGATAGTATTTACTTTTACAGTGTTCATGACCTATAAAACCATCGCAGCAATTTTTTTTACCAGGACTACTTCAGCTTTTAAATGAAGTCCATGAAAAAGAATAATACATTCAATCACGTCTTAATAATATTTTGTAATGTTTGCGATTTGTCAATGTTTGTCATTGCTAGTTCTTCTTTCGTAAATACAGAGAGCATCAATAAAAAAACAATCAGATTTCAACGTGAGACATGCATGTACAACATTTAGCAAACGTTAGAGAGAAAATGCAAATATTTGTTCTTACCAATATTGACCATAGAAATTGTAAGACAAATTTTGTATTGCTTCTCCAGTTTTACTTCTTATAGGAAGTCGTTGTACATATTACTTTGTTGCAGATGCGCTCAAATCTAAATTTGTAGCAAAGTTACGCGAAAATTTTCTACTACATCTATATTACGTAGTGTCGAAGAAATCAAAACAGCTAGGAGAACGAATCGCTATACTTCGTAGTGCTAATACACTGCCTACGAAAGTTATAATGAACATTACTTTTACTTAAAAACAGGAATTTTAGTTGAAGTTATTTTTTTTTTCGTAGTCAATTATTTTTGTTCTTTACTTCTTCTCCTAGCTAGTTTGCTCTCTTCTTCTAATCATTAACAATTAAGACTGATTATAGACATGCGACTAAGTCTAATAAAAAAATATTTTAGTTATCTAATGATGGTATAACACAATTACAAATGTATGTAAATCAGTAGAACTGCAAAGAATTTCAATAGATCTAATGTCTTTAGCGTTCCTTTTTCTGTTCGAATTAAGTAAAGACGTATATAATAAGAAACAATTGATGATTGACTGATAGACTAGCTATTAAAAGGAATTGAAATCATTTTCGAATTTTTTAGTCAAAAAAAAATATATATATTCTATGAGCATCACAGGGTTTAATTTTGGACTAAAAAAAAGTACATAACGGGATTAAAAAAAATTAAAAACAAATCAGTTAGAATGAAAAATATGATGGTGATCATAGCAAATGAAAATCGATAAATAAAATCATAAAAATCGACTAGCATGCTTTTCGAAGATGAGTATTCATTTTGCAAAGATTAAATAATTCACTTGGATGATTTTTTCACACTTGATGCCCTCTATTTAAATTAAAAAAAAAACATATCCGTTTTTTCTTCTGTCAAACAAAAAAAAATCTCTTACGATTGTCTGTATTCTATTTAATGATAAGTGACTCAATGTCGCTGTTTCATAACGAGAAATAAGATTAATTGGTATATTATCTGGTCGTATTGGAATACGTCTGTCAATGGTTGATGATGAATTTTCTTGATTAGATGATGTATCATCTGCTGTTCTGTCGTTCAGTGTTATTGCTAAGGAACGAGTTGTTAAAATATTTGGTTTATCAGCTAATTCAATAGAACTTTGTTTACCAGTACCCGTTGTCACTCGTTGGCGTTGTTGCTGATATTGTTCAGTAATACGTTTTGGATTCTATTTATTCAACAACAAAAAAAACGAGAAAATCATAATGATGATCAATTGAATAATATAAATTACTGATGTTTGTATTGGTGGTTGTATTGCTCGTATATCGAGAATAGAACGATTTTGTATATTAATTATAGTTGATGATTTTGGTCGTACTTGAGATCGAGGAGCACCTAATAAACGTTCATTTACTTTAAAATAGAACGTTACCATCATTTATGCTTTTTTATTTTTCATAAATAAAAACTTACACTGCGTAGAAACTCGATTAGTGACAAAATTAGCAAGTTGTTGTCGTCCATCATCACTTTGATTTCCCGCTGTTACTCGACTTACATCTAATTCACCTTCATTATCAATAACTACTTCAACAGAATTATCCTATGAAAAGAAAAATTTTGTTTACAAAGACAAAGTATTAAATATCTTCATACTTCATCAATACGAGAACTTGATGCTAATAATGGATACATAGTTGTTGAAAGACTAGTTGCATTTGCAACTGATTCACGTTCAATACCTTGGATAGAAAAACAAAAAGCTGAATAGAATAATATTCTATTTTATTATCGTTTTATTGTTAAGAAATTCAAATCGATAAAGGTTAAGTATGAGTTCCAAAAGAGGTTTTTAATCTTATAGTCAATAGATAACTAAGTGTCAATGTGGAAGTCTAGTAAATACAATCAATTTACAGAAAAAACAACAAATATATTCAAACTGCACACCTCGAACATATTGCATTGGAAATAAGGCTGAAAAAATATATACATATTAAAGAAATATTTTAATAATGAAATAGAAAAATCAATGGAAATGTTTTTTTTTTAGTTTTAAATCACTTACTATTCAGTCGTCGAAGCAAATAAGTAGCAGTAAAAGCATCCCGAGGTTCGTTAACTAAACGAATTTCATTTGTTATATTGGTTTTGCACGAGGACATAGAAGAATAGCGAAGTGAGTATTCTAGAATTAACATGAATTGTGGTTAGTAGGATACTTGAGGTGAATATTTCTTCAAAAGTTTATCCATCTTTAAAAAGAAAATCGCAAGTACCTGGCTCATATGCATTTTTTGTTGATGATTGCTGTGATTGAAAAAGAGAAGAAGATGTTAGTAGGATATCATCATCTGAAAGCTGTTGAGATAATTGACGTTTTTCTCGTTTGTTAAGCGTTACATCACGAGTTAAAATTTTGTAATATTCAGCCTAGAAGAAGAAGAAGAAGAAGAAGAAGCAAGCTGTACACACAAGCACGCAGAGAGGTAGAAAAGTAAAAAAAAATAAGAATGTTAAGTATTAGATAAGATCTACCCCACCTCTTCCATAAATAGTGTTGAAGATATGCTATAAATCAAGATGAACAACACATACCTAGAATTCTTTTATTTTATAAATACCTGTGATCGTTGTGTTTTTTCATCAGATGGTGTCATTCGATTGGTTACATTATTTGTTCTTGATAATACTGGCCATCGACTTGATCGATTATTCGTGTCATTTGTTCCATCATATCGTACGGAATCAGTATTAGTATCAGCTCGTTGTATCACCGGTGGTGTTGGTTTACGTGTATCATCAACCTAATGAATACAAAGAAAAGTCAAATTAATTGAATGATAAAAAGCAATGAAAAAGACAAAGAAATATAGTGATCATTCAAAGTAAATCAAAAAAGAATATCAAACAAATTAGAGAAGTAGCAAATATTCCTGTGTAATCTTGAAAGTAAACATCATGCATATAATTCACAATACTAAGATAAGAACGCAGACAAAGAAGCAGAGAATCTAGCATTCATTTTCGAAATATTCATTAGATCTATGTTTATTTTCATAGACATTAAGTAGTACCAATGATGTTTCCATACGGGAAGGTCGAGCACTCAAACATGCATAACATTGACAAACAAGATAAGTATCAGACCCACGACGTTTTCTTCGTCGTCGTCTTTTTTCAAGCACAGTCTGAAATGTTTTCATTTTCGAATTTTCATTGAGAAACAATGATAGAAATATGTTGGATACCAACCTGTTCTAGACTATCATTATTATCATTATTATCAGTTGTTAGAGCACTAGTTTCTAATATAGCCTTGACAATAAAAAAAAACAAAAGAAAGATTCGAGGACATCGATCTCAAAATGAATCATGGTAGTAAGATTAAACAATAAAATTATTAGGTAAGTTAAAGTTAGAATGATAAGACTTACAATGGTCGGAAAGCGGGTATTACGAGATTTGGATAAGGGTAAGCCAACAGTTTTGTTCTGATTACAAATACAACATCAAATAAATGTTGACAACATTTGCATGTTTATATATTTACCTTGTCAATATTTTCTTTGTCAATTTCATCTTTTCTTTTTGATTCTTTTGATATTTTTGTAGTTGACTTTTTCTTTCGAGTTTTTTTCAATCGAACCTCAAAATAATATGATTAGTTTATTAGCTAGATTTTCCCTACAGTTAAATTTACTTTAGCAGCAGCAATAACTTCTAAATGTTTTGGTAGACCGTCATCAATTGATGAATCCGATCCTCCATCATCACTAAAACAAATATTCTATTTATAAGTTATTTTTTCTTTTGACTTTGCATACCTTGATTCATCGGAAGATGACCATTGATCTAGATCAATATCATCTAATGATGTTGCATTAATACCTCGTGAAAGAAGTTTCATTTGAATTGTATGTCGTAAATTATCTTCTAGTTCATTCAATATTCGATTACGCTAAAAATAAAATAACAACAATTACCATCATATATTGAAGACAAACAAAATAACGAACAAAAATGACAAAACAACATTAAAAGGAAGGCTACAGAACGAACATAGGAGAGAGGAAGATAAAGATATATGTACTGAAATTATGAAAATTTCTTTTTTTTTCGACGTTGAAACTAATAATGATTCTGATTGATGTATGGTCAAAAAAATGATTTATTAATAAATTAATCGAAAAAGATAAATGCATTAAATTTACTTTACTATGATCTGGGTCACAATAATCAAGTAAAGAATCGAGAAAATGATAACCGATAGATTCGAGATCTTCTGTAGTAAATTGATGACCAGCTCGATCCTGTAGTGTTGATCCACAAAACGTAGCCTAAAATTTCAATATTAAATATAAGAATACGTTATTTAAAACTAAATAATTTAACCTCTAATGTATAACTATTCAAAATACCCATTGCCCACATCACTACACGTCCAGTTCCTTCTTTATTTTTTTGTACTTTAAATTTACATGAATAATATGAGAACTAAAAATAAGAGAAAATTTAAAGACTTCAAAATAAAAAAGAAAATGAATGAGAAGCAAACTTTAGTTGGATCATTTTTTGATAACATTGCTGGAAAAATTCTTTCTTTTAATCGTTCATTTGGTAGATGTTTATTTTCACAACCATAAATAAAAACATTTTGCTTTCTTGAATGTCCATGAAAATCACAATAAAGAAGAAGTTCTGTTTCATTCATAAATCTATAAAGATAAAATTTAATTTAATCTATATTAGATATGCACTGAACCCGAACGTTCGGATTCAGTAAGTTTGGCTCGAGTTCGGTCTTAATTCCAATCATTTTTAGTCTATTATTAAAAGGAAGTAGAAGTAAGCCAACAAAAAGGATTTCAGCCTTTTTTCTATGGTAGATCTCTACACCCAACGAAATAAATTATCTGAAAAACGAAGGTTTGCAAGCATACTAAAAAAAAGTCAGCAATACTCCAAAATACTTGACTCAGCGCTTAACCAAACATTATAGTGTCTCCATGGTTGCCCACATATCTCAAGAAACGCTTGGACAACTGTCCGACACTGTTTGAAATGATTGGATAGTTTCCGAACTCGAACACTGAGCCAGAATTTAGATTTTATGCATGCCTAATCTATATGAATGTTCAAACCTTTTGATCATTTCTCTTGTATGCCAAATAGATGGATAAGCATCTTTCAATATTGTTTTATAATTTCGATTTAAATCTCGTCCCGATAATGAACAACGATAATTACCAACAATGACACCATCAGGATTAAGCATTGGAATAATTTTAAAAATAAAATTATCTCGAAGAAGCTAAAAAGCATACAACAATAATAATAAATTCATTCAAAAACTAATATTCATACTTTTGCATCAGCTGAATCACCAAGTAAAAAATCTAATAATCCTTTCATCATCCAAGATGCATTTGTTTCACCAGGATGAACACGTGCTGTAACAACGACACCTTTTTTTATTTGTTGTTCAGGTGATGTAGATGCATTTGTAGAATTCAATGTTATTGTTGGACTTGTTATTGTTAGCAAATAAACAAAATTACCAGCTAATGTCCGACAAAGAACTTTTTGTTTACAATATTGACTTTTTACATGATCAATTTGAATATCATTTAAATAATCCTAATAATTAAAAATTAGAACAAAGAAAAATTTGTTATCTAATTACTTGTAAATCAGAATATGTATATGGATAGCAATGAGCAAAATAATATGTATCATTATCATTTGGAAATTTACATGTCCAAGTAAGTGAATACATATTTGATGAGGGATTATCAGGTGTACTAAAATAAATAATAAATGGTATTTTCAATAAAAAGATGTTTATACTATTCATACGGCAGATTATTTCTATAATAGACTATTTCTTCACCCCATCGTCGCCAACCAATGCCTTTATTTTCTGCATCATTTACACTATACATCAAAGGCTTCATCCCACTACTGTAAAGACTTGTAGGCTAAAGAATTTTGTAATAATAATCAATAAAAATAAAAAATATAAATTATTACTTTGAAAAAATTAACAATAGTGAAACGATATCTTTTATTGGCTCGAATATTTTGTAAACGAAAATAAAACCATTGTGTATTACGTTTTGTATAAAGATCATATCGAAGATAGAGTTCATATTCAAATTCACCACTATGAATATAGAAACAAAATCAAATAAATCATTTTAATTTATCTTACACTTGAACAGCTTTCATCAAATTTCCACTTTCAAAACGAGATTCAAATAACACAGTTGTATCTTCAGAATTTCGAATAGGTACAGCTGCTGGTCTACAACCTTCTCTATTACCGCCAATTCGAGATCGAACAAACTATTTATTACAATATATATATATATAAATCTCAAAAAAAAAGTAAAATCAATCATATAACATACATAACCACATGTTTCTGGAGTGTAACTAAATACAATACGACCATTATTCTCATCATAGCTCCGAACAAATGGCATATGACCAGTAGCTGAAATAAATGAATTATCAACAAAAGAAAATTCTAAATAGAAATGAAAATGACAAACTTGGTTTATAAAAAAGTTCTGGTTGTTTTGGTGGTGCATTAATATGTTTAACACGTCCTTCAGCTAAAACTTCAATTTCAATAGGCCATCGTGGCTCAAATGAACCTTCATCGTTTTGACCTCGTAAGGTTAAATAAGAAATACGGGTTTGTCGAACAGGCTAATACAAAAGAGATTGCCATAAATAAAAACTCAATTTTGAAATATCTTTCAAACTTACTATTCTTCGATCCGGAATAAATGGTTTGCCTTTATATTCTAAATAAATCATATTATATAATACGGGTCAGTTCGAAAAAAAAATATAGTTTTTTCATGCATCCCCCATCGATATCATGCAATAGTTAAAAACTTATTACTAATTTCAAAATTCATGTTAAGATGATTAATAAACATTTTATAATTTATCTGATAATATATTGATGACACATAAACATCAATATATTATAGAAAAAGAAAAGAAAAAAAACTCATCGTTTTTATGTCTAATATAGACAACATGCAAATTAAAAACCCACCAGAACCCTCTTGAGGAGATCGACGATCACTATTTACTGGAAGAAAAAAAATACATATATTTCACTCTTTATGAATTTATTATACAAAATGTACTGAATAAATTAGTTTGAAATGTTAAAATAAAACCTACTTGCTTGTTCTTCATCACCAGAACTCGATTCAGAGTCACTCGATGATGATATAAGTTGAGATTTTGATGGAACAAAGCCATATTTTTTTACGATTTCACTTCGACCTTGACGAATAAAGCAAGGTCAATACTTCATTAAACAACACATACTTTACCGGTAAAATAACCATAGTGTTGAAGATGTTTTCGCATGAAACTATCGTATGGGCTCTTTGAAAAAAATCGAAAAGTAATAATAACAAGAATATTTATAATACTAAATATCATACTGATATAAGAGCATAGTTTGATTCACCCAACTCCATGGTTTTGATGGTTGAAGATCAATGTCTTTTAATTGATTATTATCCGTATTATCCAAAACAGCAGTGTCGAGAGAAAAGAAAAGAAGTTGAAGTTCAACAAACACAAAAAAAGAAAATTTATCGAAACAAATTGGTCGTTTCTAAATAAAAAGTTTGATGCACAATTTCTTAACGCGTAATTCAGTAAAACATCAAGAATGCTTATTTTTAAAAGTGCCCCTTTCAGCGCGAAAAAAAAACAAATTTTATTAAGAAGAAAAATTATTTTTTTTCTTAACAGAACAACAAATTTGACTTAAACTTCAATGTTTTTTCTTCTTTCGTGACAATATATTCTTTCTTTTGTTTATTTAATATTTTTTTCTTTCACCAACATAAGATCGTTTTCGTTAAACAAAAGTCTCAAACATAGTATATACCATCCTTTCATTGTAACATGATAAACTAAAAACATATTGATCAATATTGAAAATTAGTGACGAAAGCAATATTTCAGTTCATCATGGGTTGAACCCACTTTAAATCACTAAAAGTGTCACTTTCACATAGTTTTCAAAATCATTCAGGATAGACTCGATGCAAGTTTAGGTGGCCCAAGCCTATCCTGGCTCACTCATTCGTTCGTCGCTATTGAAAATCCGCAAGAAACAATAAGAAGGATTCATATAGTTTTATCTCTTATTGGGATATCATAACTCATTCTGTAGATCTTCATTTCCATAGTAATGAATGACCAATTAATGACAAACAAATGAATATTAATCAATCATAATTTCTAGTTCAAACAACAACAAATGAAATATAGAAACAAAAAATAATCTAATTGAAAAACTCAAAAAAAAAAAAAAAATGTTCATAGAAAATATTAGCGACATCATTATTAAACGGAATACGTTGAAAGTAGCGTATATTTCGATGTACAATTTATACAAATATTTTAGAATTTAACGAATTTATTCAAGCAAGAAACCGATATATTTTAGTTTATAGACAAATTTTCTAATGGCTAAATCAAATAAAGCAAGTGAACAAGTGCTCCATGAACTTCTCAATGATGTAAATATATTTTCATAAGACAATAATGAAAAACAAATACAATCGTTAATTCTCTTTTAACATATTTAAATAGGATGCTGATCTTGATGAATATGGTGAATGGACAGATGAAGCATTAGCTCGTGCTACTTCAAATAAACCTATTGATGGCGAAGAAGAATATGGTCATGTTAAATTACGTAAACCCATTGATATGCAAACATTATGTTCAAGTAAAGGTCAAATATTAGAACTTGATCAAAATGAATTAGATCCAGCTGAATTAGCACGAATAGCAACACAAATGGCAATGAATGACATTAAAGAAAATCAACAAACTAATACTGATCAATATATTAATAATGAACTTAAATCAACAATACCATCTAGAGATTTATTTAGTCAACGATTAATTGATAATACACAGGATTTTGATGATCAAGTTCGATTGTTTTTTTTTCTTATGTATTGATCATTCTTTTAGTTTTCTTTTTCTTTAGCTTGGTGGTATGCAACATTTAATTAAAACTAATGGAGATGATGGTATACCATTAAATGGTGTACCAAGTAGTGAAGCTGTCGGTGGAATATGGAAACAAATTATTTATGCTGGTGTTGGAGAAACACCACCACTTGGTTCAACTGTACGTATTCATTATAATGCATATTTTGAACTTAATGATGAACCATATGATAGTACAGTAAGTTATTATTTTATGAAATTTTAATTGATTCATTCATAGATTTAGTATATACGACGTCGACCATGCGAATTTCAATTAGGAAAATTTAATGTTCTACCAGGTTTAGATCTAGCTGTTCGAACAATGCAAAGACGTGAACGAGCAAAATTTATTATAAGTAGTGATTTGCTCTATGGTGAATACGGTCTGTATTCAATTTGTGTTTCATTTATTGTAGGTTTTATTTTTCATATTGTTTAGGTTGTCCACCACGTATTCCACCAAAAGCTTGGTCTTTATTTGTTATTGAATTAATTTCATGGATTGATTGTACATTAATTGAAAAATTAAATAAATTAAAAACAAGTGATGATGAATTAACAGAAGATTTTGATGAACGTATACGTATTGCACAAACATTACGTGATATGGGAAATGTAATATAAAAGTTTGAAGGAAAAAAAAAAAGTTTCATTAAAAATATTTTATATTTAGGATGAATATGCTAAACATAATCTTGAACGAGCTATTCGTTATTATGCAAAAGGAAAACAATTTTTACTTAAAACTAAAACAACTAATGAAAATCAAACTATACAACATAAAGAACTTTTACTTAAACTTTATCTCAATTCAGGTAGAACGAAAAATAATACAGTTCAAACAGACAAGAATTTCTGACAACTCATTTAAACGTCACAATCATCATTCATGTTAGAAAAATTTTCATGTGCATTCAGAAAACACCAAAACCAGCTCTTTTATCTTAAAACTTGCGTGAATATTAACGAGTAGCACTTTTCTAGGTCATCATCTCTCTTGTCTTATATTCTGATTGATGTGATTTATAAGATAATTCGTTTTAAACCATTGCATATTTAACTATAATCTTGAGTTCTAATCAGGTAAACTTTTTTCCTGTAGCCCTGATCCCGGTCTCAGTAACGTTTCTTTCCCGTAGTTATGCACATGTCAAGTGAACATACTGTTAAAAAAACAACAATAGTTTTGGTACACCACACACAAAAACGTCAGTTTAGTGTTTTCTGAATGAACATGAAAACGCTCAGAGAAAAAACATAATTAGAGTGTTGAAAGGAGTTTTCAAAGATTCTGGCCTGCTTGGAATTTCTTTTATGCAAAAAATTAATTTATTTAAGCTCAATGTTATCTCAAATTACGAAATCATGAACGAACAATTAAAAATTGTAATGATGCATTACAAATAGATCCTAAAAATATCAAAGCTTTATTTCGAATAAGTATTGCTTATCGTTCAATACATCAATTTGATCAAGCACGTATTTATCTTAATACAGCAATCAATATTGAACCATATAATGCTGAAATAATTGATGAAGCTCAAAGACTTGATCGAGCCATTGAACAACAAAAGAAAAATGAACAAAAACTATATTATAGAATGTTTAATAAGTAATAACTGTTTTGTCAGATGACTTGTTTGTTTGTTTGTTTGTTTGTTTTATAAAATAAAACTAACATATGAAATAAGAACTTATCGGTTTCATCTTTTTTTAATACCATGAAAGTTTATATCTGTCGGTTTCATATTAGATTATACATATTGTAGGATTATTTTTACACTTGTTAATATCAATGATATCTTAAAAGGTGTTAATGCAGAACACAAAACGAAAAAAAGAAGGAATCTGTACTAATTAATTACTTAGTAAATTTTATTGGAACATGTAAGAATCAAATGGCGAAGAATAGCAGAGAAAAGGATGATGAAAACTCTATGAATTCATAGTTTTACAGATTTATTTGTCATATTATTATTATTTTTTATCAGATAATCGAGTTTCTCAATGGAGTGATATTAATTTTTATGAACGTAGTTTAATTACTATTTCACTTATTGAAACACACTTAGATCATAAAGAAATTTATAAATAAAAAGTTTAATGACATTAATATCAACCAGCAATACATACCTGAACCTAATTGTATTCAAGTATAAGTAATACCTCTTAACATATTTGAGGCGATGTGACCCATTCGTGGATCACATGATAGTGTATACAGGGAGTAGTCAGTCATAAAAACTAAAGTCTCTCAGAAAATCTTCTCGTCTATCAGACTTTGTAAAGCTATTTGCACTGATCGTTTCAGTAAAAAACCATTCAAATTCAACGAATAAATGATCTTTCTGGAGTACCATCGTTTATTTGTCAAATTTTTATTTTTTATTCTTACTAAAATGATCACCATTGATAGCACTACGGAATCTGGCAGACGAAAACAAAATTTTCTGCGAACCCATGACTTTAATGACTAATTATCCATAGAAGTATCCAGTTATACTCTCCCTCGGACAAAAAAAAACGGCCTATTTCCATTTCATTTTTGCATCACTTAATAAGTTGTTTTAGAAAAACAAAATATACCAGGAGATGCAGCATGAAAAGAACTACAATGTGCAAAGTAAAGCTTATTTTAATTTTGTACTTTNTTATTATTTGCATATGTACTCACAAATATCGATATTCGAATTTTTTTCTCTTCTTTTTTTCACTCTATGATATAAAAAGCGTCTATTTACAATGTACCATGGTCGCTGTTGTTCTCTTTCTTTCTCTGCAGAGAATATTACAATACATTTTTTCTTATCATCATTAGTATTAAAGTAAGTTTAAAAAGGAAAAATTTATTATCATTGATCCCCTCCCCTCTCCCCTTTTTTTTTTTAAAAACTTTATACTGATAAAAAACAAATGATGATCTTTAAAGACGTTGAGACTACAGTTCACCTTGATATATCGTATTCATCCATTTATATATCATTATCTTCGTTTCACAACATTTCGTTCTATGATCATGTCACTGACGTGCAACTCGAGCTCTTCCAAGGTTATTCTTTTGATATAGATATATACATGTATCCATATTGTATAATAATGTTCTTCTTTCTTTCTTGAGACTTTGCATTAGCATATGAGAGATTTTCGTTCACCTTCAAGTTCAATTTATGTATTTTATGTATATGTACATGTTGTATCTGTGTATATGAACCTGTAATATAAGTAAGTGAAGATGAGCCCTTGGTTTGGCCAGAATAGAAAACGATGAGTCTCACACTCAAATGACGAAAAAGAGAATAAGTGATTTAACATGAAATTGACATTCATTTTTCAAGGTTTAGTTCAGT